GAGATGAATAAGGTTTTTTATTTGTAAAAAAAGTGTAATTGAACATTTTTATGCATAAAATTTTATGTATAAACACTTTTATGATATATGTGTGCATTAATGGTTTCTTTGTTTCAATGCTTTAGACGTAGACATCTGTTGTATGTTTGAAATATATACGCATGTATGAATACATTTTAAAATTATTTTTCGTATTTCCTCAGCTTCAGATTCCCCTCTTTGACATTTTTCTGATAATTCGCGATCTTTGTTGTCCGCGGATAATCGGGGTTCAACTGTATCACAATGATTCGTTTGTCATACAAAGTCACAAGGTATGAAACTCATAAATCGATTCTTTATTAATTTAGTAAAAACAATTATACCATTAATTTTTAATAAAAAGAGAAAATAAATGCGGTTATCAAATAACTTTCACTGTTTCAAAAATTTCAATTTAGATCATATATATATATATATAATAATTTGTACAAGAAGATCAAGATGGAAGAAGGGCTTGTGTTCATTTTCTACTCCACGAGATTGGATCGTCATCTAATGCATTTTGAGGATTGCTACATTTGCTAAATCAATAACATAATAAATCTGTTCTCCCCGAGAGTTATTACTCAGTAAAAATTTGCCTCTCTGTGGAAAATGTTCCTTTTCTCGAGTAAAATAATTTTTCCTCCGAATCAGCTTTTTTTAAGATATGCCGCCTTTTACCTTTAATCTTCATACATGATCTGCAAATATTTTGTATACATAAAGAAAGCGATTTTCAGTTTAACCTTGTGAAAATTAAAGCGCAAAAGTTTTAAACAGTTTATTAAGGGTCAAACTAAGCTAAGTAATTCTAATTAAATTAAAAGAAACAGTTTGTCACCCGTTCCATGGTACATTGTAAATAATATTTTAAAATGGAATAAATTTCCTATTACAATCAAATTATGTTGTTTCAATTTATAAAAGCAACATTGTAAATTATTGGAAATCTTTTTGCATACTCTCCAACATTTTTAGTGTTTCTATCAATTATTTTTCTTCTAGTAGAAGTGAAATAAAGCAAAAACTCTTGAAAATTTATATATTTCATAAAACTTCATTTGAACCTGATGACATGGGCATTTATCTACCTGATATTCAATGTAAATGTTTATATTATTTACATGGTTGATTCTTTTTTTTAACTCTAATTTATAAATTCATAAAAATATTAATAGCGTATCTTTTGATATCGATAGGAGAAATATTTTCTTAAACTATGGAAATTTCATAGTAATTGGAACATATGTTATTAGTCTGCAAATTATGCTTACCTAAATATGAAATAAATTAATTTTTCATAAGTACAATGATAAAAATTAACTGTAATAGGTAACAAAATAAATAATAACAAAAAATAGGTAATAATTTATAAATGGAACAGAAACTATAATTTTAGAAAACATGTTTTAATTAAAACATTTTTGGAAAAAAGAAAGAGGGAGCACAAATTTCTAATAAATACTTAAAACAAATTCATTAGAAACATAGATTAAGTAACAGTCATGCGGACAAAAAAACAACATTAAGAACATTGATTGTCAAGAGTGAGATTAGATGAAAAACTAAAACTATATTTTTCGTTACATATTTTAAAGTCTAAAATGCTTTATCTGCCACTATACAAAAATTATTGTTTAGAATAACATGATAGGTCTAAGAAAAAAATAGAATTAAACTGTTTAACAATAAAAGGAAAATTCAATAATGCATAAAAAATAAAGTTAATGAAATAAAAATAATAATTTTTTTTTAGAAAAGCACGACCATTTTTAAAGCATAAAGAGTTAAAGGAAAATAATATTGCTTAAGAAAAGCAAGGTTAACAAGTAAACGTCTTATAAATGTTTAATTTTACGGAAATTTGATGAAATTTTCTCTTAACAGCGGATATTTTGGAAAATATTCCCTGTAAATCCGGAAGAGTTTCCTTGAAAACTAAAAGATGTTAACATTTCATCCTGTACAAACTATATTGCTTATAATTTATAAGGTTTTCCATTTTTCCATTTCTTTCATACCACTGCACTGTGGGTCAGAAGACCATGATCTTTGACCAAAAGTCAAAATTACATTTTCAACTAAAATATGTTTTGGCAGTTTTAATATCGCTCGAATTAAATATTCATAATCATTCCAAACGTTAAAATTTACTTTTTGGACCGACGAGAGTACAATGTAGTGCAAAATATGTGAAATTTTTTTTAATGTAACTTTTGAATTTATATTTCAGAAATATATACAGGAATTTCACTTTACTGTTGCATTTTTATTAGACTAATTAGTCTGAAATTATAGTAAAATTTATTCAATTTGTTGGATTAGTTAATACTCTTGACAAACGTATAGTTAATATCTTATCATTTGACATTTTACAATGTTTGAATGACTTTCGAAACTTAGTTCCAAAAGGTTCCACGAGGTAATTAGCTAAACTTTTTTTTGTTATTGATGTTTCTTCTTTCGAAAAACCCTGCCCCATTTTGCCGTATTGCAAAGATGGACTAAATATGCCGAACAACAAAAATTATGCTTTTTTTCATGTTTTCGCATTATTTTGTAATTAATTCGCATTATTTTGTAATTACTTCGGAAACATAATTTGTTTTTCATTTTTAATATAAAATTACGAAAATTATTGTATTTTCATTGCTATATTTAATTATTTAAGCATATTATAATATTTTTTTTTATTTTTGCTCACCATATTTCAGACGACATTTTGTTTTTGTTTTTTGGTATTTTTAGTGTATTTCAAAATTTCAACTATGAATTCAATTTATCTGCACATAAAAACCCCTAAATAAAACCCCCCAAATTTTGAAACAAATTTTATCGAAATACTAATTTTGGCCACGAAGCCTTGAAAGCTGGCCCACTGTGCACTGGATATAACTTATCGATTAATTACCGATACAATTACTCACCGATTAACAAAGTACAATGTTTGCAAGTTAATGCTTATAATTTAAGATATTTTGCATTTTCCCCCGTTTTTCATACCACTAGATATAACTTATTGATTAACTAAGTACAATGCTTAAAAGTTAACCATCTGAAATATTTAGTATGAAACCATACATAAAACATGGGGAAATTTATGTGTTGTGCTTAAACACACCTAAAGGTTTTAATCTGTCCTCATTTTATTTTTATTTTTCGGTGAAGACAAAGACATGCTCATTCAGCAGAAAGGAATTTTCCTGTCCTATATACAGTTAACAGGATGAGAAGGAATTTTGTTCTGAAGAAAAGAAGGTAATAGATGAGGAATCTGAGAATTCAGAAAATGAACAGAAAGTTCATGTTAGTTAGGAAGAAAGAAAAAGAAGAGGAAAAAAAAGAGGGCATTTTATTTGTTGAGGTAAGAATACTTTTATGTAAATCGTCAAAGAAATTGAAGAACCAACTGAAAGAATTACAGAATAAGATAACCTGAAATTTTAGCGAAATTCCAGCTTCATTAGTACAAGGAATGTTATCAAGACAAAAAAAGAATTATAGCTGACCTATTTAAAAGCATAGCATTGCAAAATAAATTAATTTTCAACCTATAAAGTTACCATAACAGGTACTTAAAAAAGCATTATGAAAAATGAAATAAATTAAAATGTAATTAACTCCCTAAGTCAAATGGCAACCCTACTAGTAAAATACGTTTTAGTAATTTTTTTGTAAAGAAGCAAAATTAAAAAAAAGTTCTTTTTACAAGCATAAATACTTTTTTATTGAAGAAAATCCCTTTTGAATGTTTACCAAAGCTTATTTTATCGTACGCACGTAAAAGAAAAAAATATTATGTACGTGTCATATTTTTAACTTACAATTTATATTTTAAAAGCAATTTTATCCAATCCGAATTATCCCCAGCAAAAATTCTACCTTCGCCCCAATTAGGCTCAAAATTGGATAAATATAGATCCTATTTCAACATTCATTGATGGACCAATATTGGGATGCCTAGATGTTTTTAATATTGGTACTAGAATGGCCTTTAATATTGGGCAATTGAAAAGTGGCTGTAAAATTTCGGGTAAAAGGGACAATTCTATGTCGGATCAATATTAACTGAACAGCGGATATAAAATATTAGGTTAATCTCCTATTTTTATAAGTGGCCAATATTGGAAAATATCGACTCTTTTTACCTTTACTGAACCAAGATTAATGAGTATTGGCCTATTGAATGCCCAAGTTATTTTGCTGCAAAAAGTGTTGAGAAAATTAAAGCACTGGAAACAGTGACAATTCAAGCAATTAAGGTAGTATTTAAAATAAAATTTTAACTACTGCCATGTAATTAAAAAATAAATCTGCTAAAAGTTCTGGTCTATAGTTGCTTCTATTTTTGTTATTGAGATAAATTAAAATATTTTATTTTGAGTAGTCAAATTTTTCATAATTTTTTAATAAATTTTTTTTGTTTATCTGTTGATGACAGATATTTTCATGCGCATTAGAATAAATGTATGGCTTCATTACCAAAACATTTCATTTCAAAAACAAACACAATCTTATCAATATAATCTTACTAGTTCTTTCTATCAAGTGTTAATTTATCAATTTTATACAATTCTTTACCTGATAACTACTTTTCTGTATTTAAAAATTAGTTTAATTTATATACCTCAACACTTAAAAATGGTGGAAACTATACATCAAAACTTCTATAGGGGTTTTGTTAGTGTTTTAGAACGTTGTTAACACTCTTAAAATTATCTTCGAAAGAAATTTAAATAATTGTAGACAAATATTCGCCTGTGAACAATTAAAAAGTTGCGAAACCAAAAATTTTTATTCACTAACAGTAAAAATTGAGTAATTTGTTTTTGTATAGGTAATAGGCAATTTTGTATAGATAAAGGTAATTTCTTTTGTACAGGCATTGATCATCATCATAACCTAATCCGATCACTTAAAAAGTTTTAAAAAAAACTCAATTTTTAATATTAAAAGAAATTTAATCGTATAATTTAAAACATAAAAAAAAACTTAAGGCTAAAAATTTTTTCTTTCAAATCAAACTCAGTGAATACATGTAAACTAAAAGCGTTACAGATTTCAGACATGTGACTAAACGCTTTTTATATTCGTACTTCCTTAACTATAAAATTGAATTGCCTGTTTCTTTATAAATCTAAAACACACTGATTTTATATTATTGTTATAAAATTTATTATAACCCATAATCAGTTTTAGTTTGTACACAACGATTACGACTTCACATTTAATTTAAAATATAAATCACCTGTTCAATAATATCCGAGTTATTGGAATTTCATATTAATTTGCACCTGAATCCACCGGAGAGGTATGCGATCTGTTTGCTCATCGGCAGGTGATGTAAATTGCAATTAGATAAGCGAAATTCGTTGTGCCAACGCACTTTTCTGAAGAGCAAAACATCAAATTATCTACCGATAAGATAATATAGGCTTTAGAAAGTTTGTTTTATTGTATGGACACTGAAATTATAAAAACTCTAGGCCTAATTATGTAAAGAAGAAACGTTTAATTAAGGCAAAAAATGTAAATAAAGAAAAATAGTAATTTTCAGAAGAAATATATTCAAAATTATCTTTTTTTGTATCAAAATGTGATTTTTTTTGAGATTTTGAAATGCTTGATCTCATTTTTAAAAATCGCGATCATTCTCTTTGGCATTAATAATTAAATTATACTTTGAAATTGCGAGAAGGTATTTGAGAACAGTTCCTTTTTGCTATTTAGTCATGATAGTTTGTATTTCTTTTTGTTTATTACATAGCTTTGAAGAACAATTTATTCAGATAATTTATTTTTTTTATCATTAAATATTAAAAGAGTGATAAAATTCTTTTAAAATATACAAGAGATATATTCATGTTTTTTTCTTCAAATGAATAGATTTAGCAGACTTTCTACGTTTCTTTACATTAGTTCATGAAGAATTTAACGAATTTAAATATTTTCATGCTTTCCGTCTGTAAAATAAATTGAAATGCAAATTAATGTTTTGAAGATAAGCTAAATTGTTATTTTTTGTGACTGGGAATGGCAATAAAAATGAACTATTAAAATTTTTGTTAACGCTGTGGAAATGAATAAAATTAAATAGTTCATGTTATGGTTATATGAAAAGACTAACTACATAATTAACATTTATTAACTCTTTTAATTTTCAGTTTAATATTTTGATACTTAAACCTACGCTTCACTTTAGATGCGGCTCCTTACATTTTTATTTTAGAAAACTACGTGCATTTTACGAAGTATGAATTTGAGCTTTCGAAGGGTTTTCAAAATAATGTTCAGAATTATTTGAATGCTTATCTTATATTATTTAAAAAATGATTGATATTAAGCATCATCATTACAAAGCAGAATAACTCTTGTAGTAAGAGAAATTTATTTATTATAATAGAGTCCCGATTATCAGTGAGTTAAGAGAAGAGATCGAAAATTATATTGTACGAGATGAATAAGGTTTTTTATTTGTAAAAAAAGTGTAATTGAACATTTTTATGCATAAAATTTTATGTATAAACACTTTTATGATATATGTGTGCATTAATGGTTTCTTTGTTTCAATGCTTTAGACGTAGACATCTGTTGTATGTTTGAAATATATACGCATGTATGAATACATTTTAAAATTATTTTTCGTATTTCCTCAGCTTCAGATTCCCCTCTTTGACATTTTTCTGATAATTCGCGATCTTTGTTGTCCGCGGATAATCGGGGTTCAACTGTATCACAATGATTCGTTTGTCATACAAAGTCACAAGGTATGAAACTCATAAATCGATTCTTTATTAATTTAGTAAAAACAATTATACCATTAATTTTTAATAAAAAGAGAAAATAAATGCGGTTATCAAATAACTTTCACTGTTTCAAAAATTTCAATTTAGATCTTAGTAAAACTTTTGTCATATCTGATGGACGTAATGATTTATTAACTTACATATTTATAAGCAACACTTCCAGCTCAAAACAAAGAAAATTAGCAAACATTAAAATGAAATCTACAAAACAATCCGTAAATGCCCGTCAAAAAATACAAACATTTATTTTAATTGTTAAAGAATTAATATCTAAAAGCAGACGAATCATGTGTTTAATTTTTTAATTTTATATTTTCGTTTAAGGGAACATGTTGTGCACCATACGGAAAAGGGAAAATTCTCTCATAATTGAGTTAGCTCCTGCTGTTCCTCTTAATAGTTTTGTTTAAATACATTTACTTCCAATTTTTACGAAAGATATTTTTGTTTTCTTCAAAATATTTACTTAACTGATTACCTACTTTTCTCATACAAAAGAGATTTATTTTTTTTCGTTAATGTAGCTTCGTTCTATATTCATGTAAAAAAAGCAATTGCGAGTTTTTAACTTCTTCTATGTTTTACTTAAAGTGCTTTAAAATAGTAATCTAATTCTTATCCTTCAAAAAAAAAAACTATGTATTGATTTTTTTAAAGCACAGCGAAAAAAATTGCAAGCAATTTCAGACGGCCACTTGTGAATCTGTACATATGCAAATTAATGAATTAATTTTGTGTTTTAATTAAATTTATAACTATAGTTGATAGTGTTGCGTAAATTCAATCCTTAATATGTATTTTTTTAGAATACTTATCAAAAATTAAAACAGATTATACACGTTGGGGATTGCAAAGAATATTTAGCAGAAGAAAAAACTAAAATACTTTCAAAATCAAGGTAAAAATCTGCGAGAGTATTAATTAACAAGACAGGAGTGATTACGGAAAGAACCTGGAGTTTAGAAAAGAAGATTAGAAAAGCCTTTAAGTTTCAACATCCAATTAATTCTATTTTGATGCTTATTGTGTCTTCTTCTGAAATTGGTCATATTCCGTTGTTTGCTTTTATATTGGTTAAACACTGATTTGTGACCACCAAAGGGAATATTTTTTTTGTTTTCCTTTTTGGTAATAATAAAAAAAATACATGTTAAGCGCTAAATTTATGCAACAACCAACAACCTGCATGCAAAGTATTCAACTTTTAACTAACGTGCGTATTAAAGGAGCTGATGAAAGTCAGAATGAAAATAATAAATATAGAATACAATATTATAAACCTGCTCAAAAGCCCATAAACTCGTCTGAAGCCATATTCACTGCCTACTTGAAAGTAGGAATTCAAGATTTCCTTCATACGACGTGGCGAACAGCAAAAACTGCTGACTAAGTTGAAAGTGGCTGGACTCGACACTATTAACTAAGAAAAAGCTGCTTCAGAAAATTTCGCTGATTTCTTTATTTCTTTAGTTTTTTTCTGCGTCTTGTAATTCAGTTAAAACCTGTTATTTACTCTGATGATCTTAAATGAGTAACTCGCCTCACTCTGTTTAAATTTCGAAATAGTTTTGTTAATTTGTCCCGATGGGGGAGAGGGGGGTTTGTTCGAATTGTAAGTTAAATATGGTTTAATCTGTAAAAAATATGATCATTCATTTAAATTCATCCCGCAGTGGACTGATTGTTAAGACACGGTTCCCAGCAGTTCACCGAAGTCAAGCATCACCGGCTGCTGTCAGTGTGAGGGTGGGTGACTACTTGGATCAGTCTGCATAGGGAACGAGGGTGCGGGGTATTGGTCCTCGTTAAACTGTTCTACCGTAAAGTGCTCGACGAGAAGGTCATTGGGCTACCGAAGCGGGGGTGCCATCCCTTCTACAGAGGATCAAAATTATGATGGCATGTCTTCGGATCATTCTCAGGGATGTTTCCCAGACCGTCGCCAATAGCCCTTTGCGCAGCTCTAGTGCGACGTAAATGAACTACAACAACAGCAACATTTAAATTCATCATTATAACTAATCATAGTTCGAAATGTTTTAATTACGAAATTTAAAAATAATAAAAGTATAAAACATTACAATTATAAATAATTACAGAGATAATAATTCTACACAATATTGAAGACGTGTAAAATAATTATACTTTTGATTTGAACAAAGTCTTTTTGGAAACGTTAGTATTTATGCTATGAAAGAGGAAAATCGAAGACACAAACTGCCACAAATCGTTTTAGTTTCACGTGTCTTTTAAATTTAATTGTATGCTGTTTCGTACTTGCCTTGGGCGTCAAAAAATTAGATATGAGATGAGGAAAAGTAAAGTTTTAAATAAATTTCAAACTCTCCCAACAAAATTTTGTTAAAATCTAACAATGTAATCATAGGAATGTTGTTATGCAAACTTGAATTGTTTACGTTTCAAATAGCAAGTTTTAGAGATTGAGAGTTTGGTTTGAACTCTGTAATTAAGTTTTTTTATTGCTTTTACATCTGTTGCAATTATTGAATTAACAGAATAATTTTTTTTTATAAAAAAACTAATAATGGGATCAGTACAAGAAGTAGTTTCATTATATATCTACTTTATTCGTTATGAAATACTTAGATGAAATAGTCTCATCATTCCAACACAATTCATAATATATTTCCATTCTTGTAGGTACATACTGAAAAAAATTTCCAAAACTGTAAAAATTCAAAGTTAGAATGTAATTTAATTTATGAGAGTAATTTTATTGACGTTTTCTTTCGTTTTATTATTAGTTATAAATTTATTTTACTTAATTACTATTTTTTTCTCATTTGTTGTTTGTTTAAACGTTTTGAAAAATTATCTGCTCATGAGGAAGATAACCTTTAGATATGCAGATAGAAAATAGTTGAAATGGCCAGCTAATGAGATAATGAAAAGCAATTGTGTCGATTTGAGTTAAAGTTAGTTAATTATTTATTTTTTGAATCAATCAATGCTTAATGTTTTGTATAAGATATTTGATATTGATCTATGTGAAGTTAAAGATTCTCGTTCTAAGTATTTTAAAACAAATGTCCAAAAAAAATTTTGTAACAAATTTTCTTTAATTTCAATCGTAATTATTATTGTTAAAGTATTAAAAAGTATAAAAGTATTAAAATATCCTGGTTACTTAAATTACACAGTTCCTAAACAAATATCGCAGAAGAGTAATTCAAAACGTAAAATAAAGTTATCAATAATAAAAAGGATTGAAACAGCATTCAATAACGGTGTTTAAGTTAAAGCCGTCACGACTACGATTAATGTCAAACTGTATGATTTATAAATGACATAAAACGTCTACCGCGTTCACTGAAACTCGTCAAATGTCAACAGAAGAATGTAAAAGAAAAAGAAAGTAAATTTTCAATCTTACTTTATTACCTTCATTCTAGAGAGAATATTGACAACGAAAAAAAAAGTTTAATAGTATCATTTTCCTTCAGTTTTTCTTATTACAATATATTACTGGCAACACGCGAGACTAGAGTTAATAAGTTTCATAATAATGGCAACGTCAACATTAGTGATAATAGATATGCGATCGTTATGAATTTCGTTTAATATGTCTTTTCCGACATAGATTGGATTATGAATGTTCCTTCTTTTGCCCTTTTGATGAAGATGAAAGACGAATTAAGCCTTTATATTAAAACTAGGAAATATTTTATTCAAAGAATGTGATAATGCCTTTAGCCTTGAGAAATGATGTATAAATGGTGTCGGTGTTAAGTTTTAATTTTTAATTTTAAATTCTGAATTTTTTTTTTAAATGTTGTGAATATAGCAGTAAATAAATAATGAAATGAAAATATTAGTTATTTAGAATTCACTTACTAAACCATAAATTCCTTTTTGTTTTCAGGGAACTTTCAGTATGTTAAAAATAACGTGGTAAATTAAAGGATATGATGCTTGCGAATTTTGATATGAAATGGAGCTTATTTTTTAGGTGGAATTATGAATTGAAAAAAAAAACGCAAATACTTATTTTTAATTCATTCTAAATATTTTAAACTAATACTGAAATAGCTACAGAGACGAATAAGTTATATTTAAATATATTAGATAAAAACATGCGAAAGTGTTTTAAAAATAAATTTGAAGTAATTAAAAAAATAATTATATAAAAATGAATGTGCCTTTTTTCAAATGTATTTGATTTACTGTATAACGATTTCAAAAATGATTCATTTACTTTTCTTTCAAGGTAAATGTTTTCGTATTTTTTTTAAAGAAATGCTAGCATATTGTTAAAAAGTGCTTGTATTTGTATGTATTTGTGAGAGTTTAACACCTGATTGAGAAAATATCGTATAACGAGGTTACTTACCACTTTTGATGGGCAATATGGAATTAGTGAATAAAATGTGGCGCTTGCAATGCTCACCATTTTTGTTCATCTGCTCAAGACATACAAATACAAAATAAAAAAATTCTATTATTGAATTTGATAACTATTATAATATTATTTATATTAGTATTATTAGTTTTAATAATATTACTAATTGCATTGTTATTATTTATACTTAAATAGTAAAATCAAGATTGAAAAAGTTTTTAGAATTTTAAGTTGTAGTGGGGTCTTTTTTTACTTTTTTTCATTTACCATACAACATTAGAGGATTCACCTTAGTCCAATATGATACCTTCCTTTGATCTTCGCAAAAGCTGATGTGTTTTCATGCTCATCTATATCTACCAGTGTCCTCCTAAAGTACAGTTTGCAACAATTCTGAATATGAAAGTATCACGCATAATTAGTTTGTGGTGTTTTATCATCAGGTTTGGTTTTTTAATTTATTTTTCACAGATATTGTGAGTTCAAAAGAAACACAATCCTTGTTAGTTTCGTTTTTATACTTTTCATTCACAGGCACATAACTCACAAAATGGCACAAAATCACCAACCGAACAAGTTTAATATTCTTGAT